CAGTTTGACTTCATCTTTTTCAAAAATAAAATTTTTTTAAAAAAACATCCTTCCGAAGCGGGCAACGGGATTTCAATTCCGATGACCGACAGCTTCTTACGGGCAAACCCCACACCAAAAATAGTGCCGACAAGCATCAAGCATGGGCTTAAGCTCTTAAGTTGTCATGCATGGATTTAAATGACCATGAGTTTAGGTCATAATTTTAGGGCTTGAATCCTAGGTTTAATGAGTCCTAATTTTCATTCTTTTAATTAATTAAATATTCAATTAATTAAAAAAATTGAAAATTTGACCAAAAGACCATGAATTGACCAAAAATACGAAAATGTAATTTGGACTCATTAAGAACCCAAAAATATATATTTTAAAAATCTTAATAATAAAAAATTAAGTTGAATAAAAAATTTAGGATTAAATAATCTCAACTTTAAAATGAGCAATTTACTTTTTACTTTACTTTTGTTGCATGACCTTTTGGCTAGATTTAAAATGGATTTGCATACGATGAACATATCCCAAGACATCCCTAATAGGGCTTTGACACTTAAGTTAATTTGTGGATAATTGCATCATGTTGCATGTCATGAGGAAGTTGTTTAGCACGAATAGGGTGTTAAAGGCTTCCCCGACCCAAAAGGGGGTGTAATTCTTTTGTGAGAGTGTTTTGGCTTTGTAGCCGAACCTATCATTTTTCTTCCATTCTAGCGGCATTTTTGTCATTTAATTGATAAGTCCCACCTTTTTTCTATTCCACCTCTTAGAGAGTCATAAAAAATAGAGGTTTTTTTCCTCTAGTCGTAGGGCTACCAGGATTGTCTTGGATGACAAAATTCTTAGATTGCTGACAGAGGAACCCTAGTCGGGTTGTGTCAACTATCTTCATGACTAGATAGACTTAGGGTCTCCATAGCTTGAGATCACAGATCCATAATATCCTGACCTGGATACCTCTACGTGCTTAAGTATTCCTTCCATTCATGTTGATAACTCTTTTGAGCTCCTTCATCGTTTTTTAATAAAAATCATTCATATTATTTTGTGGGCATTGCATGCCTAGGCGTCGCCGCCCGTAGTGTATACAATGATTCATACTTTGCCATATGGCCTGGTATAGGCGTCGAAAGCATATGGATTCTCCCTCTTGAAAAGATAAAAATCCTTTGGTTTCCTAAATAACTAGATTTCATAAATATTGTAAGTGAGTTCTTTTTTGTCGAGAGTATTCTTTGGCATTCCCAAAGATGTAATTAATCAAAGGATTATGTTTCCTTTAAGAGCTGCTCTTGACCCAAAACAACCACAGAAACATGATTCTCTGGTTGTGGATTGCTTTCATAGGGTTTTTTTGGATATGCCTTGAAGTCGCTTCGATCCAATCTCATTTAAGAAGTGCGCTCTTGAACTACCGTGTGAAGGTTATCTTATGAAAATTCTTCATGTTCTTTTTAATTGTTTGCCTATTTTTATTGTATTTTCTTTCTTCCTGGTTCCTCTCCTATCTGAATCTAATTGTTTGCCTATTTTTATTGTATTTTCTTTCTTTCTGGTTCCTCTCCTATCTGAATCATCTTTGAGATTCAAAAGAGAGATTTATTTGGAAAGAGGACTATACGACAATGATAAGACAAGTTGACGACTCCAAAAGTTACAAAAAGAATGAAAACACCCAGGCCCTGAGATTCTTCGGAATATCAAAAGAAAAGGGAACAGGAGAAGTAGAAACGATGCTTGGACTGTGGAGTCATTGGAGCCTCCAAGCACACTAGCGGGGCGCTCCGACACATAAAATACAAGCAGAAGTTGGTAAGATTTTATTTTATTTTAAATATTACTATAAATCAAACATATACTCTGACAATTTCATTACATTGACGGACTATGGAGTTGGTGAGAGCCATCCGCTGTCGATGTACAAGAGTGCACATATAAGAGGTAGTCGGACCAATCGTGGATCAATGACAGGTCTCAGGTGACCCAAGTAACTCATGAGCTAAACTAGTTTGGTGTTTATTCATGCTCTACGTGTATGTGACTAATTTCTTATAGAATAAATTCCAACATTTGAAGGAGAGCCGATCTCAGATGTGGGGCAGTATTATAATCTGAGATCATGATCCATTCAAATAAGACCTGTGAGGGAGACTGTCGAAGGGAAGAAAAAGAGGTGAGTCTACGGGCTTGAGTCTCAGGCTTTCACCTACGACACTCACCCCTCCACCAGTGCATCTGCGACATCTACCGCATATGATGAGGAGGTCTCTAGGCATGTTGTCACATTCACTGCTGAGATGGAGGCCCACTTCGACCAGATGGAGGCGTTTCTACAAGAAGTGAAGCAGCAAAGGAAGCAACCATTGATTGAAGAGGACTATGATGATGATGCAAGAGACGATGATTAGCATAAACTTTTTTTAATTGTATGTGATTTGTTAAACGTTTGCATTGATATTCTTTTTTTTGAAGAGCTATGCATTTATATTTAATTATATGTGTTTTGTTTAATTTTCTATTTGATTGAAAGCTTTTACTATTGCGAATTTACTCTGCCAAATGTTCCGATTGAATAAAATGTGTTATGTTTTTTGTATTTTTTATGTGTATTGATTTTAGGTGTGGAAATCGTAGCTATAAAAAAAAAAGGATCTTTTTTTTGCTAAGGGTTTTCGACGGCTTACAGTCGATTTTCTGACAACACATCGAGTAGTTATAGTGAAAGCCGATGACTTAAACTATTAGTTATATTTGCATCACCTAACCGACGAGAAATGGACGGTTTAACTTTGATATAAACCGAAAGATAACCGACGACCCAAACGTTGATTAATATATCGACAGACAATGACAGATAACCGACTACTCCTACTGCATCGCATTAATGTTGCCTGCATGGTTTAACTTTGATATAAACCGAAAGATAACCGACGGCCCACACGTTGATTAATATATCGACAGGCATTGACAGATAACCGACTGCTCCTACCGCGTCACCATAATGTTGCCTGCTACGCTTAACCGATGGGGAAACCATCGATTATTTCCAATGGGTAGCTCATCGGTAATCAGAAATCGATAACAACCAATGGGTACCGCGTGCTTATTGAGTTATGCAAAAGCGATAATCAATGTATGTAGGAAAATCATCGATAAATAAAAGTCATAGGAATTATCACCGTTTTCTAAATTACAAATAAACATTTTTGCTACTACCTTTAAATAGTTAGTAAACCGTCGGAAATGTAATATCCAACAGTTTTTTCCAGTAATAACTCACGGACTGCGATCTTCTGAAAGTGCCTAAATTTTCGTAGTGATCCTAATATCCCAACATTACTTAATTATATTGATACCATTTTGTATGATTATTCTTAAATAACTTATATATTTTTTTTTACCGGAATAACGTTAATTCTTTTATATATATATATATATATATTTCTTTGTTAATTGGGTTAATCTGCCAAAAAAGGCTTTTGATTCCTTAACTCCTAGAAAGGATTATTGGTACCAATTTTTGAATTCTAACTTAACCTCAAGCCTCTAAGCATCAAAATATTTTTATCATTAATTTTCCTCTTTTTTAAAATTTCTATTTTTTATTAATTAATCATTATTATTATTATTTTTTTCATTTATTTTCTTAATGTTTTCTTCATTTTTATTTTTTAATCCTATTATCATTTTTTATTTCTTTTTTTCTATAAATTTAACTTTTTTAAACACAAAATAAATTCCATTGAAAATAGTGAAATCAAGTTTATACAAAAGTAAGATTCATCAAATGATTAGGTGAAATTTCTAATAATATTCTTGAGTGCTTGATTTGGGTTTCCATAAACTCATATCAATATGCTCTTGGTATTGTTAGGATCAACTCATTTGAATGCTCATTTTGATGAGAACATCATAGAGATAAGTTTTAGAAGACAAAAAATCTAATTTATTTTTTAATTATTTAAGAGCTTTAAATATTTAAATATTAATATAACCTTCACACTCGACCGCATGAAATTTTTTTTTGCATTTATTTGTTTGTTAAAACTTCATTGGAATGATTTTTTTTTTGCTGATCCATTTGCCATAGTTTTTGTATCGTACTAAAATCTTCCAAAAGCATAATTTTTTTAAAGATATTAGATAATTTTTATTAATAATTTTTTTCTAAAAAATGTTATCTTCCTATAGCTGGTTGATGACATATGTCAAAGATGATGATAATAATGTTCAACATAGGCGAACAACAGATATTGAGCCCCAATTCGTAGAGTTCTAACTCATTTTAGTTCTATAATCATAGCCAAATTATAGGTTTATGAAGTAAAGACAATATTGGATTTGTTGGGTTAGTCCCAATTGATCATAAATATTGTGTAGGCATCATAGTATCTTAATGATATCATAAGTGAGTGATATTAAGCTTATAAATTTTATCTTATTGAGGCTCTTATTTAAATGATATAGACGAATCATTTAGAGGTTGTTTTGTTCAAATCTTTATGTGGAATTTCTATAATAATATTCTTGAGTCCATGATTTAAGTTTGAACTCAAATTAAATTTTTTTTGCTATCGTTGGGTTCATGTCAATTAGATGCTCATTTTGATTATAACATTGTAGAAATAAACTTTAGATTATCTAAAAATAAATACTAATAATTTTTATTTAAATATTTAACACTGCTTTTGCAAAAAAATATGCCCAATTAACACTCTTTTAAATTTAACTAACCTAATTACTCACATTAAAACAAAACAATCACATGACAATATGTCAACCCAATTGCCATCATATTAATCAAAGCATCCACAATCCATTTCATATTAAAAACACATTATCACTAACATAAATCTCAAAAGCTCATCACAACAATAAGTCATCCTTTGCTAAATCAATCCATTCTCCCATCCCCTTTCTCCCATCCCCTTCACAAAGAACAGAACAAACTTCCAGGACTAGCCAAGAATGCAGCTTCCCCAAACCCCTTGCTCTCTTGAAATAGATTAGAGCTCAAAATATCCAAAACAGAAGGAGACAAAAGACTAGGAGAAGATAATTCTAAGGCTTCTTCATAACTCTTTGGCATCAGATCCACTGTAGCAGAGTCTGCAGAAGAAGAAGAAGAAGAAGGATTGTTATTAGCAGCAGAGGCTTGGAAGCCTGTGAGACGCTGAACGAGAGCCATGAACTCTTTTGGATTGGTGTGGATGATTTTGGGAGAGACTGCATGGATTATTATGGGAGATCTACGTTGATTATAAGGCTTGATGATCTTGTGGGAGTTTTTGTGGAGCTGAAGAGGAGAAGGACGAGGTCCATGGAGTTGAAGTTTTTGCTTCAACGATGGCTTTTCTCTGGGGTTTAGAAAGAGATCCATGAACGTGAGATTATGCAGCCAATTGATGGAATTGATTGGTGCGTTGAAACAGTTGTGGAGATGTAATTTATAATGGAAATGAATGGTAAGTTGTATTAAAATATTGTACAAATGTATGTCATGTACATTAATAGTTGATTAGATTAAACAGTAGATGTGAATTATAGCTGAAAAAAAGAATAGAACTTGACAAGTTGAAGAGTTGCCATGTTTGTTTGTTTGAACGAGGGAGTGATAATTGGTTCAGAGGAGTGACATGTGGATGGCGCAGGTGGCTCGACAAAGGTTAGCCTTTGTCAAACTTGGCTCTATATAACATGAGATGATGAGGTGATCGTAAAGATTCGATCTTTAATGGATGATGAAAATTAATGAATGTGTTTTGGACCTTCTATATGCGGAAAATATAACGTCCGAAGGATATATGAACGGCAAAAAAAACAAAAGTCCGAACGTAATAGCAGCTATTTACATGCATACCACCCAAATTGCTATGAAGTTGCATGTCTAATATAGATAATATAAAAACTTTACCTTTATTTCTTTTACACCAACCAAGTTTTTAATATAAATAAAAATGTAACTTTTAATATATATATATATATATTAGGATACTACGCAAGTATACGTATCGTTATTAAGTAATATAAGACTT